TGACAATGGTGTGTCATAGTAAAATAGGAGATTTATTAAGTAGGAAATGAACAGGTCTGCTATATAAACTGTGTATATTGCATTGATATATCCTCACATAGGTTTAAAACTGTGACAAAATTCTGTTAAGAGCAAAGCACTGCCACAATCTCACTTCAAACAAAGGATTTTGGGACTAAGCCAATGTTAGCAACACGTTACTGACTACTAATTATCTCATAAATAAGTTAAAAAATCTGCTGCATAACTTAAATACCAAAACTATACACTGCCATGCTTGTGTATGGACAATATTAACTGAGAGTAAATAAGCATACTGCTGAAATGCAGAACTTAATTCAGCTGGCTGGTTTACAGAAACTTACACACTTTGTTCCAGTCTTTAAATATGACCTGTATTGGTTCAAGTCCATAAGGGCATGAACAATGCATGAAAAACTATGCCTCCTCCCAGCAGTTTTTGGTCAGTGATTCACTTAAATTTAAGGATATGGCTTGATAATTTCATATGAAGTATGCCGAATTTCTGTCGACCAATTTCCACTCATTCTTCATTCCTTCACAAAGACTGAAATAGTAATGTGAATTTCTGAACACAGACAATAAGTGCTGCTGTTTCTATGAAGAAATTAAAAAAAAAAATTGGGCTATACTGTGAAATCATTTCATCTGTGGACTTAAATATATGAACCAGGTAAATGACACAAAAATGCAAGAAGCCTGAAATATGTGCACTGTGGGAATCTCCCACAGTGCACCGAAAAATGGCAATATTTATACATCACTTGCAGCCTAGTTCTCTTGACACCAACACAAGCGCTATCCAACCAGCGCTCACAATTGCAACAATACTTATACATTGCTTGCAGCCTGGTTCCCTAGACACCAACACTAGCGCTATTCAATCAGCGCTCATAATCACAGCTTCATCGCCAACTGGTCAGACTGACTGACCGTTGGCCACAATGTGACTTTGACTTGACACCAGCATTATTCTTTCATCAGTCACTGCCATCATAGCTATGCTGATGTCAAGAAATTGCCACTGGCCATAACTCACCAGTAGACAGTTGACCCTGCCAGCCCACGCACAACTTCATCGGCCAGCCAGACCCGCTGTTGCAGGTAAAGAAGGACATCCATCTGCTACAAGACACTGCTTGATAAACGGCCCTTTTCAGGGCCTGCGCTCGACATTGTAATCGCCAGAGCAGGCCAGCCACCACAAAAGAAGTCTCCACCGGTATTCTCCATACACGCTCCTGCTCGTTTGTATTACGCGTTCTAAACGCAATGGACATTTGTTGTTATAGCTTCAAGTGGTTGTCTCAGTGAACATAGACATGTCGCACCTTATTTATTTGTGTTATTTGCTTCCTAACTTCTAACTCCAAAAAGGAGAAGGGAGTATATTTATTTTATACATTCTAAAACTTATACCTCTACTGCACATTTCAACTGCAGGCAATACTTACACACCTCATACTGCAAGTTCACAACCAAAGATAATATTCTGTAAATAGGAGGTGTGACTGTCACCATCTTAATTTAGGATACGTTACTTTGTCTTTCCACAGGTACCCAAGGTAACAAATAGAATTTAACAGTCAGTAATGTTTCCAAAGACTATAAGAAATGAGAATGTTTAGTTGTGTGGAAAGTAATTAAGGGTTACAATCAACATCTAAGGACTGAAACACTGTCCTTATATTCATACTTGCTGGCTGATACAATTGCATATATTATTAAGACGAAAGTTGTACAACCTTTAACAAGCCTAAGGGACAAATTGATAATAAGAGAACACACATAATATGGCATGTTGGTAAGAGCTATTAAATGGAAGCAGACAGCATTAAAGAAGACCGTATGGAGTCAGACTGTGGAAGCCAAGGCTCAAACAGAGCTGTAACGTCAAGAAAAATAATAATGATGAAATATTAAGCAGTTAAAAATTCTTTTCATTCCATCCTCAGAATTAGGGACAAAGAAATTCCACAACTAGAAAATTATGCATGTACAAAAAGTAGTATGTATTGATGTCCCTCTGATGATGGTCTCTAAGGACCGAAACATGTAAGGGCATGAACATGTGGGAACATCCCACATTATCACGCATTTCTGCAACGCTCGCTCTTCACATCACTTTTCACCATTACGCGCGCTAACCAATCAGATTGCTTCAAACGTTCGCATTTATACTGCGCTCGCTGCTAGCCCGCATCTACACCATTACGCGCGCTAGCCAATCAATTCTTCCTCCTCAATTCCAAGTTTCGCTCCGCCCACCGAGCAGTGTATAAAAAGGGCCAGCTCCAACGCCAAGTAGTCAGTTGATCATCAGTCTACGAGCTAGCCACACCAAGCACCATCAGCCAGCAGGCTTCGTCGTCAGTGCTCAGTCTTCGGAGTGATCGGCAGGCTGTGCCAGGCACGACTGCCTCGGCCCTCCGGCTCTCTCACACCCGACTCACTGGGGCACCGCACCTGGACTCGCCAGTAGTCGTGTTACTATCCGACCCACTGGGCATCTGGCGTAGCCACTGCCTCATAACTCCTACGACCGCGCTCAACGACTAGCCTTTCACCAGCAGCCGCCGCACTGCGATCAAGCAACCTCCAACTCACGCTGCTGCATGGCAACCAAGCAACCTCCAGCCACGGCCGCACTGCGGCGAAGCCACTCACCGCAACTAGCCTCTCTTCTTACCGGCGCGCGCCGCGCTACCTCATCGGTCAAGCATATCAGCAACCACGGTCCTTTTCAGGGCCAACAAACTGTTCTGAAGAAGTGGGTTGTCATCGGAGTAATGACAAAAACTACATTAAGAGCCCCACAAACAACTGAAATAAGAAGGCATCACCAGTCACACTGGATGGAATTGTTTTATCTTTTACAATATGTCTATGTCACTATTCATACTTTTTCAATTGTAATACTCATACGTACAAAGACCAATATGGGAAAATTGAGGTCTTCACAGCAGTGACTATGAAGAATACTATCTTCTAAGATGTGATGTCATGTGATCCGATAGAAGCTTACTGACATTTTTCCATTTCATCCCTTCAATTATTTAGTTTGTGAGAACAGAACCACAGAAGACATAAACAATAGACAAGCTGTACACAGCAATTTATTCCTTATTGGATGTATCTAAAATATTAATACAGAATGTTTTAATTCCTCTTTCCATAGTAAATGATGGAAAGGTGCAGAAGTTTAATATTTCTAAGCACATACTAAAAATTTCACTGAGGAAAATAAATTAATTTCTGCAAATCCAGTAATGCCTCAGTATAGCCCAAACATAGACATATGTACATATTAGAAAGCAACTCTGCAAGATATTACATGCTTGTCAATTCTGAACACAGGAAAGCCAATACAAATGGAGTCCACTGTTTTTGTGTTAGGGCAAGGGCACACCAAGGAAACTGGCAACCGCAATGCAAGCACAATTTCCAAGAATTGTTACCAGCCTGAGTTGAACACATGTTGCCACTACATTGTCATTTCCTCAATTTGCACTGCTCCATTCAGTGACATGTGTTCAACTCAGGCTGATAACAATTCTCGGATATTGCACTTGTGCAGTGCTGGTGCTGAAATACTCCCGAAGTGTTTAATGAGTTAATTTAATAATGAAGTGTGGTATATTATTGGCTATATCTCAGAATACTGTGCCCAAGAGCATGGACATGAAAAATATATAAATTAGTGTTTACATAGTGTATTCCATTTCATGTCAATTCACAGGCACATAACAGGAATGTGTGAACAATGAATGTCCAGTCTTACCGAGTTGTGCCTCTTCCAATACTGACATGAATTTCTTCAAAGAAACATGCTTGACATCAAATTGTTATGACTGGACAATGCAATGCACTAAACATAATCCAAATACAGAGCCAATATGAAATGAAAACAGAGCGTCAATAATAATTTTACATCATAAAAACAAAAACATGAACTGCCTTTGAAAGAAGGAATGTGGAAAATTTACACTATTTTAAAACAGTAGTAGTAACCGTCAATATACCCCCTTTCCAACCTATAAACACTGACACAATAAGAAACAACTATTATAATGATGACAACAGATGGCACAGAGTTAACAAAAAGAGCAACTTAAACAAGGAACACAAACCTCAGCTCATGCACAAGGGTTTCTCACTTCCTTTGTATTCTTTTACTAAACAAGAATAACATTAAAGAAAATTACAGATCTTTTGGTTTCTTATACTGATATGTGATGAGATCCTTAATTTGATCCTCTTACCCAATACAATACTGAAACAGTTGTCATGTGTTTGTTCTACTAATGACTCTCAAACATTTTAACCAAAAATGAACTGTTAACATATAGTAGTAAAACATAGCCTGTGCTGAATTTTAGCACACTCCAGATGCATCGTAGAAAGGCTCATGTCAGTCAGTAATAATGGAGAAATCTTTTGCCATCACTGACATTTGATGTCTTCATGGCAGTGAAGATTCATATTGGGGTCTTCTGAGGTAAGACATCATGCAATCTGGTATATGAGTGCCCATTATTTAGAGGAACATATGGCCTCCATCTTAAGGACATAGGTTCTTCTACCCTGAGACAGCATGTTCCACCTCTCAGACTACATGGTGTCACAATCCAGAAGACCACTACATGTCTCTAATGGTGTCTATGTTCATGATACTAATAGAAATTGAGCAGGTAGCACAGCTTATCTGATGTAGTACTTTTAGCAATGATCAGTTGCCTACTTTCTAAAATATTGATATGATCAAGTGGTTAAGAGCTGAGGGTGATAAGGAGACCCTCAACATGCTATTATGACCTTCAGAGCATATTTTGTGATCTTGGCAATTCATTTTGTAGTATTTTCACAGTTCACTTTCAGTTCAGTAAGTGGTATTCACATGCACTTACAAATTGTTCTTTTTACATAGAATGTAGGGAAGTGATGTGGACTGATCAATTTTATGTATCAAACGTGTTTGAGATGCTTTTCTTTTTACATGTAACTAACAATACTGAAAAAATGTATAATTGTTAAAAATAAGTCAAGAGACCAGTGTCAACAATTACAAACTTCATGTCTCTTCCTTGTTTAATGGAGCAAAGACATGCATTCTGAATACAACATTAAAAATTACATTGAAGTCTGTTAAATAATTAAATTTTGATAATGGAATGAATGCAAAAAAAAAAAACATAGGTAAACTCAGAAATTGGCTGTTTATAACATACAGGCAGTAATGACACTAAATAATGAATTTTAAATCAAAGGAGACTATTCAAAAATAAGATTTCTTTCTGGAGGCATGCTGAAGAACCCAAAGGGGTTTGAAATCTTTCATAAAGCAGTCCATAATATATAGCACCAGACTGTGCGCAATATTTGTTTAAGTGCCTTATAAATACCTGTGTCAGCAATTTAATGTGCACCGGGATGCAAGGACTATATAAACTGAAGGTACAAAATATGACATCAACATTCACTATTAAAGGCATGAGTTTGTTACTTGAAGTCTTAAATTTGAACTATAAGAAGTCATGAAAACTGTACAGCTGTAACAATAATGTTAACATAAATATCAAACAATATCACGGAACTGGCAAAATAATTATGGGCTCCTTTGTTAATAATGTCTGAATATCTTATTGAAGAATATTATCCTTAATGGTGTATAAGGGTACTCAAAAACTTCTACTCAATTTCTCTTGTACAGTAATATCATGTATATATATCTTGTAATGTGTAACAGTGTGTTCCTGTAACTACAGAATTGATTTCTATCATCTATTGATATGTACCAAGAGTAATCACATGTTCTGTATCAAAATGTTTTCATTATGACAGGACAATTGAGTCACGTAACATAACCTCTTTCAGTAAGACATTTAGGTATCGGCATACTGACTTGGCTTGAACAAAGACTGAGAATGTCAATCAATATATCAACAGTCAGATGCAAAGTAAATTAAAGGATTTCAATACTGACCTGAAAAATGTATACTATTATACTACTTCAGTATCAGTTATTCTTATGTCATATTTATCTCTCTGATGTGATAATTACACGTACTATATCCTGATGCTAACAGACCAGTTAACCTCTTAACCCTTTCTCATCATGTCACTAGCCTTCTGACATCACACTTTTCCAATACAGCCCACTAACATAACCTTGTGCCACCAACTTATGAATTTACAGCCATATCACATTCTGATCATTTCTTCTTTGCTCTTTCCATTCACTGACATCCCCTCCAGTAGTAGTTTACATATAAGAACTACATATGGCAGGAGTTATATTTTCCATACCAAAGTGTCTTTTCTTTTTCATTTTTGTAAAAACTAATTTGTAGGAGCAAGGCTGGAAATAAAAAGGATTGAAGAGGGTTAAACAGTGCAACTCACATGTCAAATTCAGCACTACCTCCGTAACATTTGTTCGCAGATTGGTTTCTTAAGGATCAGGACCTTGATACAGGGATGTTCACAAAGGTATAATAGTATGTGTGTCAAGACAGAAGCTTCACATGGAAGCATGATGCAACTTCAGTTTTGAAGTAGTCAGTATTTTTGTACATGTTTCATGAAGGATGGTATATCCTGCAAACAATTTTTTTAACTAACATATATATGGAGAATCATTCTGATTGACATGCCTACAAAAAAGTAAAGCCTGAAACATGCTGGAGAATCAGAAACTTGAAGACTTGATTCAAATTTAATGTTTAGAATGAAGAACAAATTTTTTGTCTTTCAAAATGTAAATCTGCCTCTCTAAATATATAACACATATGTATATTTTTACATCTGCAAAGTCATACCGGTAGTCAAATATTTTCCAAAATAAATCTCAAGGTTCATGTCAGAAATCAGGTAACCCCTTTTCTCATTTCAAACACCCATAATGAGAAGTATTAAAAACAACTTCATTTTTACACACAAAAATGTATGGGGCCACCAGACTATAAGTGTTTCAAAGGTTCATCAAATAATGATGCATGAACCATAAAATATACCTCTCAATATTAACTATGAATTAATCTCATCAGTGGAAGGATGTCACTCTCTCTGAAGTGATCAAATTTCTAACGACTGTCACAGTAAAAACCCTATTATACCATATTCAAGCTGCAGTGTAAACCCTTCTGGATTCTCCCTTCTTTAACAAGTGTTTAACATGATCATGTGGCACATAAAATTTCACAAGAAACGAATTGATTCATGTGATTACTTTTGTAAGGTCTGGTGGTTCTGAGTGAGCATTATGGTGGTGATGAAGACGATGGTGATTGTTCAGTGCTATGTAATTATTAATTACATGTGGAGCCTCGTTGAATTCATCTAATTCATCGCTGAGGTCCGCGTCTTCAGCCAACAGGAAATACTGTTCGCTTCTCGTAGGCCAGAGCAGATGAGTCATAACACAATACGCCAAGCAGTCTGCAGAGTATGTTATTCCTGGAATTCAAATTGTGAAAACTCACCGTTTGCACTCTACTGTACCCAAGATCCTTCTTTGTGATGATTTTCTGTTTTCTCTTAACTTCAAACATGCTGAAAAATGTTCTACAGCCTCACTCTGATAGTCCAATTCTATTCACACATATGATCTCAAGCAAAAATCAAGTAATTTGGAACTGAAGTAACAAACAAGAATGAGTCTAAATATAAAATTCATGGAATACAAGCTATAGTTTTGAACTCAGAAACTTCACTTTTCATCTTTACAAATAATTCTTTTATACATTATCTCTCTGTTTTATTTATTATTTTACACTTTAACTCTCACTTGAAGGAAGAAGGGAAGTACATGTAAATGGAGTCCTGAGGAGAATATGGATCTAAGACACATACACAATAATGGAGGAAAGTTACATAAGCAACTCTATGATTAAACTTTTTACCTAATACTGACAGTGATCAAATTAAGGATCTAAGATGGGTTAAACATGTAGCATATATTGGAGAAACAAGAAATACAGACAAGGATTTGGGCAATGATGATGATAATAATAAACAGGATGTTAGGTATATAAATCACAAGCACATGAAACTGAGTGAACTGTCACAGAACAGAATTCTAGAATGAAAAAGAGTAGGGGATGGGAGCGGAGCTGTGCATCTGTTTCAAAGCAAATTATGCAGCTTTCTTTCTGTTAAACTGAAAGATCTGACTAAGATGTACTACTTTTCCAATAGGGCTGCCTCACAGTATAAAATAAGGAAAAATATCATCAATTTCTACTGTCATAAAGCTGATTTTCATATGGATGCTGAGTGACATTGCTTTGCAGTATCACATGGCAAAGGTGCATGTCATGAAACTGGGGGAACAATTAAAAGGGTAGCTAGAAAGCAAGACTGCAAAACTTGGTGGGCTGTTGTAAAGATTCTCTCATTCAGCTCTGAGTAATGTAATGTTGAAAACCACAAGCAAGAAACAATGATGCCCGAAGAGAGGATCAGTAAAGGTCAAACACTTCCAGGTACTAAAAATATAAACTCTGTCATTCCTTCCTCAAAAAACCAATTTCAGGCAAAAGTTTTTTTTTTCAGAAGCAAAAGTGTTCCAACATTATACATATAGTAAGCTTGCAAGAGGGCCGCACCATAGCTCAAGCGGTTAGTCGCTGGCCTCCCACCATGGCAGCCCGGGTTCGATCCCGGGTCTGGTCAAGTGAGATTTGTGGTGGACAAAGTGGTGCTGGGGCAGGTTCTCTCTGAGTACTTCGGTTTCCCCTGCCAATCTCCATTCCACCAATTGCTCCACAATCACCCTCACCTATCATCTGGGGCTGGTACAATAGGCCAGAAGTGGCCACAGTACAAGGGACTTAGTCCCACCCCTCTAGCAATAAAAAAAAAGCTTGCAAGAGGAAGAGTATCAAGTGAAAGATAACATTTTTAACTTCCAAATATGGCATAAAGTGGTGGCTTGTTTATGTGCTACAAGTGAAAGACAGTGAAATTCGAATGATACTTTCTCAATCCTCTGGTCCCAGTAAATCTTACATGCATGTTTCACCACTAGGCATTTTGTGGGTTCCAGCTTCAGAAGTGCTTACAAAAGTGGATCGAGAAATTACAATGGGTTGCATGCTGTCAGTGAAAACAAACCCTGCTACACCACTGAGAAACTAGAAACCCGGTTTTCCAGACTAGACAAGCATCAGTCACATTTGTACCCATCATCTGGGCCTGATGTGGCACTGGATCAAGACTGTCCTTCATCTGTATACCAATCCATAACCCATGACTGAAACTGACTGAAAACCATGGGGAGTTAATGAGTAGAGTCATGGGTTTCCTTCACTTGGTCTTGTTTCCAGATTGGCGTATCTTTATACTATTTCATCATATTGGTCACCAGGTACCAGAATGACTGAAATTCAAACCCCCATCCCCGTTAAAGTTCCTAGGGTGAAGCCTGATCCTGACAGCCTCCTTTATCAAGCGGTCCATGTATCCTGGTGCTTTATCTAACATGGAGATGCTGATGAAGTCAATACTGTGCCCTGTTTCAAATCTATGCTCTACCACCACTGGCTTATGTCGATGGCCCAGGCATGTGTCTCATGTGTTCCTTACATTTCATCTGCAAATAACTGATGCTATAAGTAATATTTCTTACTTACACAAAAGATAAGTTAAATAGCTTAATGAACAAGCCTACCAGAAGCCTAAAGCACAAATCTTGCTGTCTTTTTCATAAATTATGATCAAAGTCAAGGTCAAAATGTTAATGTGCACTCAAATATTAAGAGTGGCATATCAAATGAATGCCACACTTAAGAGCTTTCAATTTGTACAAGAATGAGCTCCCTCTCCTAATTAGGATCAGGCTTATAAGAATTTTAGTGACTCAGAATGTGGGAAAAGTTAAGTAAAACTTAAAATTCAAAATGCAATAACTCTAAAATTAACCAACAAACGAAATAAAAACTTCATATTTATCATTTACTCATCAGAATCTGTATGCTTACATAATATCACTGAAATCTAAGGTGGTCTTGTCGATTGTTGTGTTGATTTGACACGGAACAATTTGTGTCAATCCAACAATAAAACCTATATTTTGCATGAAGATCAAATAACAATTAATATTTTTTTCAAAAAAAAAAAAACAGACCATCCATAAAACATTTGTATGCAACATTAAATACACAAAGCACATTAAAATCTATACATTTTATATACATTCTCTCATATGGCTAATATTTAATGATCAAACAAACAAACAAACTCCATGGCTTGAGTCCCCAAGTGAACTATACCGACCAAGTGACCACTGCTTGTTGGCGAAGGTAGTGCCAACTTTAGCAGGTAGAGGGTGTCGCATGATCAGCACAACAAATCCCCATGGTCATTAATTTTGGTTTTCTAGACTGGAATATTTAATGATGCTCACAGAAAACTATATTTCATGCCTCTATGCAGTCTATTATGTGACTACGCTGGTCAACAGTTATATTTATGAACAAAATATGAATACTGAACAGCCATGAAGGGTACACATAGAAAAGAATGCATATGGTAAGGATATACACTCCAGGTATCTCTCATCTCTCAAGTCTAGTTAGAGAATGAAGCATCTGCTCCTAAAATGTACAAAAATGTGGCAAATGTAGCAAAGAGACTCTATACTTACCAAGGAGTAGTTTGAACCTCCAAAGAGCTGACACTTGCAACGCAATAAGTGCTATGATGGGCAGGTAGATGAACCAGACCAATGCTGATGCCCCAAAGTGAAGGAAGAAATTAAGTTTCTGGGTGTTGTGTTCATACATCATGGTATTCCTCAGCTCAAACAGGAACCAAACCATGATCATTGTTCGGAAACAAATTATCAGCCAACCAGGCCATGTTTGGTATTCATCTATATCTTCAATTATATCCACTTCCGTCTGGACAGTGCAACATAAAAAAAATTATAAGCTACTTTCCAAACAGCACAATACAAGTCAATGTATATAATGAAACAGAATGAGGCAGGAGTGAATGGAACTGAATTAGACCTAAGGGACTGTAGAAACCATGTGCAATTATCAAATACAGTAGGCCCTCATTATACTGTGCATTCAGATACATCGTACATTTGATCATGTCCTCCAGTATGTTGTACAAATTTCTATGGAATGTTTTGGTTACAATATAAGACTGTATTATAACATTCCTTCTGTTGTGTGCAGGTACAGAGACTAAAGCCCATGCTCCCCCATGAACAGGCTGTACATTTTCTGGTTTCTATGAACTTAAGGTTATTTTGTTCAGACAGCAAAACTTAATGATCATCCCTTTCATCTGTCTGACCACAGTCAGAAATATACCTTAAATTTCATGTACATATTTCAGACACTGAATAAAAATTAACATAAATAGTAATAGGTAATCCAAAATTAGGTAGATGTTTACTTCACTTTGCAAGTACTGAAGCTGTGTCCTAACACTCACATTATATCAAAGGTAAACTGTGAGTGGGAAATGACAGAATGTCATGAGCAGCATTGACAATGAAAAAGTTCACAGTGGAATGCCATAGCTCAAGCGGTTAGTCGCTGGTTTTCCACAGCGGCGGCCTGGGTTTGATCCTGGGTCTGGTAAAGTGGGATTTGTGGTGGACAAAATGGTGCTGGGGCGGGTTTTCTCCGAGTACTTCGGTTTCCCTTGCCAATCTTCATTCCACCAAATTCTCCATCATCATAATCACCCAGGGCAGGCTACAATAGGCCAATCAGTGACCACCGTGCCGAGCGGACCCAGTTGGACTCCACCCCACACTAAGTAAATTAAAAAAAAAACGCGCTGCCTCAATCTTCTAGTGAAAAAGTTAAGATGGAAGCAGCGGGTTGCAGCAGGTTCCTCCAAAACACTGGTATCTATCTGCAAAACTAAATGACATCCCAGAACACTAGAGCATTTTAATATTACTTCCCCATATATGATCAGTCCTCTCAAATGGTCTCTTCAAGATGCTTCATGCTTACCATATTCCAGATGTACAGCAAGATGTGTACCACACCATAAAGAAACCAAATTGCAAACACCAAAGGCTTCCATGTAAATTCCAATCTTGTAACAGCCCAGCCTTTGGCCAGAAGCAGAAGCAGCAACATGAATGTTGTCTGGAAAAAAAAATGATACATTCTCAAAGAACATATCAATGCACATGTCACTGGTGACAAACTGAACCCCTTAAACAGAAGTCTAAAATTCAACTTACATTTAAAACCGAAGATACAGTTAAATACTCTAGCATCTGGGACAAGTTCAGCAATTAGACTCTTAAAATAAGATGAAAAAGAGTACACGAGGCAATTCATGGTCAACAATATACCAAAATTCCATAAACATAATGCTCATACACTTCACCCCCTAGGTAATATGGAAAAATATCATAAGATTTTAATAAATTATGAGGAGCAGTCAAATGAAAATGGGTCAAAAGCCAAAACATATTAAAGAACATTTCTTACCTCAAAAGTAATCTCCAAAACTGTTAATACATTTATCCCACTGGGAGATAAGATGGTCAATCCTATCCTTGAAAAAGCTTGTGGGCTGTCTACGGAACCACATCTTTACCAAGCCGCACACATCTTTGTCCGATGCAAACCAATGTCCACCAATGTCTCTCTTCAGGTCTTCACAAATGTGAAAATCACATGGGGAGAGATCTGGGCTGTAGGGGGGATGTTGAAGCACTTCCCAACCAAATCTCAGTAGCGTATTCCTCGCAGAGTTGGCAGTGTGGGGGCGCGCATTATCATGAAGAAGGATAATGCCGTTCGATAGCATTCCAGGGCGTTTTGACTTTATGGTGCGTCGCAGTTTCTGCAAAGTGTCTTCATAGCGCTGTGCACTGACTGTGGCCCCATGCTCGAGAAATTTGACAAGCAGAGGGCCCTTGCAGTCGAAGAAGAACATCATCACTTTACCAGAACTTGTGTGTACAGCTTTGGATTTCTTCGGTGGGGGAGAACTCACGTGTTTCCACTGCTGGCTCTCCCGTTTGCTCTCGGGTTCAAAATGGCGGCGGCACCAAGTTTCGTCCCCAGTGCCAATATGGGACAGTAAAGCATACTCTTCCTCATGGTATCGTTGCAAGTGACCCAGTGATGCAGCCATTCTCTGAGTCTTCTGTTCCTCTGTTAGTTGATGTGGAACCCACTGCGTGCAGATTTTGCAGTACAGCAGGTGTTTTGTCACAATGGCGTGTACAGAACTGTGACTTATTCCCATCAAAAGACTAATTTCTTCCACAGTGATCCATCAGTTTGCCCGGATATGACCATCCAACGCAGCAATTACATCAGGAATGATGACACAATGAGCCTGTCCTGGGTGAGCATCATCTTGCAGTGACACACGTCCCTCTCAGAATCTCTTATGCCATGCCAGCACATGCGAACGTGACATGCTGTGTTCGCCGTAAACAACAGACATGCGACAATTAATTTCTTGTAATCCTACTCCTTCAGCAGTCAAAAAGTGCACTACACTTCGCTGTTCTTCTTCACCTGCCTCCATTACTGATGTTGGATGACCACACGTAGTGCTAACCTTACTTCCAGCACAATAAACAAACGACTAGTGTGCAAGGGCATGTTGTCACTGTGCTTTCCCGAGTCCCCACCAGATGTTCATACCGTAAGCAAATTCCAGTGTTACCAACTTGCGCACCTGCATGGTAACCCGTTTTCATTTGACTGCCCCTTATACATAAAGAAGAAACTAGACCATACCCATTTAATAACTACAGAAGATGATAAAGGCAACTCATTAGTAATAATGTAGAGATAAGAAACAGATATGTTTGTAACTTCTGGCACCTTCATAAAAACAAATACTGATGTTACCTATAAGTACTAAAAGGAAAAAAAGAAAAACTACTAATATTTGTCAAAATTTCATCAATAAGAAAAATAAATGGAAATATACAAATCTCAATCCCCAAACCTCCAAATTAGGCAGACTCATCAACTTACATGAACTTAACGCACCAATCATGCCTCAGTCAACTGGTGTAACACTTATAAAATAGCTAACCACTTAACTAAACTTCTCAAAGAACTTGTTTAACTGCCCAAACTGCACAACTAAGGCATTCAGCATCAAAACATAACATAATGAACTCCAATCATCAGCAAAGACAGCACTATCCATTTGACAGTTTATTTCATGAGTATATTAAAATTACAGTACTAGCTAAATAACAGACTAAGTTGGATTTTAAGTTCTCACAGCAGCAACTATGAACGAGCAGTATCTTCTGGGATGTAACCCAGTCAGTCCAGCATAAGTTCACCTATGTTCTAGAGAAAGTACTTGCCACCTGCTTCTTGCTGGTTTACTTGCTTCAGTTATTCTTCAATGAAGAAGATGGAGGCAGTATCTTACTCTGAAATGTCAGTGAGCTTCTATCAAACAACACAGAACTATATCCCAGAAGACAGAGCTCTACAATACACTTTAGGCTGGGGCTACACGAGTTCACAAAATGCATCAGTTGTAACGAACATCGTGACGTCCATTGTAGAATTAAACAATAGAGGTCAATGCTACACTTTCTTCTGGCTGTATTGCAGACAACAATCTATGCACCGCATTCTAAACTGTGTGGTGTCCTCAGCAACGTCCGTCAAAAAGTACGTTCATTACAACGGACACATTTTGTGCGCTCATGTGGCCCCAGCCTTAAGGTCACATATTTCAGCCAGCTTGAGAACCAACGTTCTGTAATGATAAATTAACAAACCTATATGACTTCACAGTTCTGTTCCTTACCCGAGAAAGAATATCTAAGATGTCACCAGCAACAGCCAGTTGATGAAAGCCAGTTCCATCTAAAGAGAATTTAAAGACATGCAGCAGGATAAGGCAGAGAGCTAGGAACTCCAAAATGAGACTGGCAGTAAAAAGGCGCGTCACAGGATGGTGTTGGCGCATGGCAGCATACACCTGAAGTGGCACCAGTACAAGGTAGCACAGGAAGAATACGAGATACAGTTCCACTGTGTCCTGCAGCAAAAATGGAGCATTCAATGTGTGTCCTACAAGTCACATGCAGCATACATGAGCAATACAGGCATTATATTTAATCTTACTCTCTGTTCCTGTTATTTCACTATAGGATATAATAGGAGAATGATTCTGTATAGTATACCAGAAGGAACTTAAATCGAATTTCTTTTCAACTGCATCTATAGGACAGCACTGAATTAATTAATTGGGAAGGATACGGAAAGCAGCAGTGAGGGTTATTTTAAGGTGCCATTCCAGCATCTGCCTTGACAGATTGAGGTAAATTATAAAATACTTCAGTCGGATAGATTACATGTTATGCAGCTATGTCAGCTGTGGTGCTTATTTACTGTGTGTCAGTACATGAGGTTCATCATGTTCAATGAACTTGAAAGGAATGGGGAGAGGGCAGCCATGGGCTAACCCAGCATTCACCTGGAGAAACTGAGGAAAACACCAATAAACCTCAGTAAGAATAGTCAGTAACTGGACTGACTTGAATCAGGCGCTGCTAGAACCAGTATTCCTGGTGACACTGCTGAAATAACCAGCCTACCCAATATGAAGCAAGACTGATAACCATTTAACTACAACACCAAGACAATATGCATACACAGATTGCATTAGTAACCTGGTAACAATCTATGTTCACTGCACCTGTCTGTCAAAGGAAAACTGGTACACCAAAGGATTAAAGCTGCTGACATTTGGATTTCCATTCACAAGCCAGATGTCATATTCCAGCTCTGAGTCCTGATCAATATGATGCCACTTGCATGTAGACAGGTTCCTGTAGCATGCAACTAAGCTTATGTACCAGAACCTGCAACAAGATAAAATTTAATTTAAATTCTACAGCATTGTAAAATAACCATTTCACTTCTCGCAGGACTCAGATTAGTTCTACTGATGGTTTAAGTAAAGTAAAAAATGTAAAGGTATCCCTGTAACAGGTCGTGGAGGCCCATAGGGTTGTGAGAGGTCAAAGCTCTCACATTTTCTAGACAATCGGTTCACAGATGGCGGTAAGGTTGTCAGCCTTACACGCTGGCTGCCCTTTACCCCCAGGAATCTTCCTGGTACTCATTTCTGTTAGAGACTGAGTCAACACCAGGGCCATACTGTGGCTGGAAGGATTAGATAAACTGAAAAAAATCCACCTCATCAGGATTTGATGCTGACATGTTGAAACTCAGCCTCCCATTTTCTGAAGTTGCCAGAGAAAAATAATACACAGACAAATATTTGACATATTTGCTCAAAGCAAGAACTATGGAGCCAGAGAAACAGCCATTGCTAGTGAACAGCTCTGAAACAGCATTTGTTTCTAGGCAATGGCCATGAAACAGACAATGGAACATCTCTTGCTACACAGCAGACTTTTAATAAGCAAGAACAGACAGCCACTGCTAGGGAATGACTCCGTAAACATGCTCCCATGGCAATGGATACACATACAAGAATGGTGTTGTCTGTGCAGTCCACACCGAGGAGCTATAAGGAAGGCAACTGGGGCAACCAAGTCAGGTATGTATGGGAGTCTGTGAAGAAAAGACGCAGTTGGAAGTGGACTTGAGCCCTTGAGGCAGAGGAACTGCCATTGTTAGAAGCTGTTACCAGGCAACTACTAGTGAAGATAATGCAGGCTCGAAAAGACATAACGGGTACTGCGGTCATTTCTGAATTATGGAGATTAGCGGTGGCACTGTAATTACTTGTAGTTCAAAGTCGTGTGTATAAATGGTCAACAAATGCAATATCTAATCCAAAATCCTGTCAAGACTCACTTTAACACGTGATAATATATACAGATATGTTTTTGAATAAATACATTTGTGCACGTGCAGTTTGAGATAGTAAGCCGTATGAAAAGGATCAAAATTAAAATACCATCAGCCTCAGGAGAAACAATATTGTGAATGTATAAGCATTTGCTATACTGACATCACATTTAACAGCAAAGCATAAACTTCATGACAGAAACAGCAGAAATTAGTTTCATATAGGCAGCATATTACATCACTTTCACCCACAAAATAAATTGAAAAATAAACACCATCTTCACCAGAGCCAGATATTACACAGTACTATTACCACTAAGATTATGGTATGATTTCCACCTCCCCTTCATCAGAACCACTGAAGGTGGTTTTAATTACTGAACAAATGCTCCTTTCTAGACAATTGGTCTTGTTTGATTGGATCAGATTAAAAGATATAATATGAAATTTGAGGTTCTCACAGCAATGACTATGAAGAGTACTATCTTTCAGGGTGTGATACCATGCAGTCTGGTAGGAGCATACCAGCATTTTGGAAGAATGTACTGCCTGCACTCCCAGGGCTGAAGAGTAAGATGACCAAGCAAACATGCAGCAAGCAGAGTATGGAAGAGTACTCTTCCCATTGCTTGATTTGCTCTCTGATCCTTGGAGGGGAGGCAGTACATTCCTGTGAAATGCTGGTAAATGTCTACGAGACTGCATGGTGTCACATTCCAGAGGATGGTACTCTTTACAGAAAATGTGACTTTGGAACCAACAAAGTAATCTGAACTTTCACCTTAACAAAAACCTTTTAAACAGTGAACTGTTATGAGAATTCAAAAGAGAAACTGTAAATTATGTTTTGTAACACCACTACAGACTAACTATATCAGATATTTGGAAAGATGAGAATAAAGATCATGAGCAAAGAGAACAGCGAGCAGTAAACAGTAAATATCTTACTAATAAAACTATATAAACCCTGCCTTGAAGATGGCAAAATCAAGTGCAAAATTCTGTGACTTCCCATGTTTTGATGTTCTTGAGAGAAGTAATGTTAACAAGATTCCACTCATTCTTCTAAGGTGGTAGCATGTAAAGTATTTATCTTAAACTGTCAAGGTATCACTTCATGCTTTCACAAAGTACATGGCCCTTCTATAGATACACACTGTAAGGTAACTTATGGTTCAATTTTCTTCATATTATGTAGTAGAGATATGATGTAATCACATTTCTTTCTAGGAATGCTGAAAGTGTTATGTCAATAATTCCTTGTTTCCAGTTTGGCAATTAGAAAGCAATGACAATGAAATGAATTATATCTTGGCACACATTCTCCTGGGAATGTTAATTTACAGAAATAAGCTTAAATGTTATAAAATAAAACTGCATTAAATAATGCGATTATTCTGTTCTTACCTTGGCTGTATTAAATCCTCAATTACAAATGTGAACTGATGTCCCTTAACTACGTTCCAAGGCGCATCTTCATCCACACAAACACTCCCTTTAGAACATGGAACTTTTCTCAAGAAATCCTCCCCTTGATCATAGCAAACTGAGTCGTATGCGATGGTGCTGATTTTATTGAACATTTGGGTACAGGCTTTTTCTTTATTTACAATACTTCTATTTCCATAATATTCTAAAAAATACCCTCTATCCAGCACTGCAAACGTCACATTCTGAGTAAAATTCGTCTTGGCAGTAATATTGCCAAAAATGTATCCCGAAGTATCTTTCGAGTTGTGCACGTCCGTCTTTTTAAAACCAAATTTTATCAGGAATTTAAAGAAGTCTTTTGTATTCCAAGTGCCTGTGATATGACTAGAGTCCGCATGTTGTATATGAACTGCCAAAAAAACAAATAAATAAAATGTACAAACACTAGTACGCAAAAAAGCATCACACTTTGACAAACACATTGCTCCCATCTGTTTCCTAGAAACCATGTTGCATTAAAAAATCATAAAAACACTTTGAAATATTCCCCGTCACACGGTCGTACACCAGACTGCAACAGAAAAAATTATAAGTAAGGAGCCCATCGAGAAATCACGGTGTCCAAAGTCTGTGGAACAAATTGTAGGTCTATCAAATTACAACACACTCGAAACTGATTTCTATACTGATAACCTAATTTTGGTTACTCCGTGTCATTAAACATTATCACAATCTAATCCGTGATGTCCGTGATCACAACGGTGCCTGTCTGTTATCTACTAGTGCGAATCAAAAAACAGAAAGATAGTTGTGCGGTTGAGGCTGTTGAAGCTGTTAGAGCGATTTTCTTATACCAACTTAAACCGAATATTAGATAAGGGAAAGCAACGTGAATGGTAGTTCGTTCTAGTTCTGTGGGTTCTGCTTGCCCTGCTGTTGGCAGCCAGCTCAGCTTACAGTTAAGTGAAAGTACATGTTTTACGACGTTGAATGTCGATTAAAAATGTTGATTACTAAGCAGATGAAAGGACTCTCCTTTCTTTAACCGAGTGACCATGTTACGTATGAAGTCCGAAGTTAACATTTCAGTTTACGATATTTTTCTTACCACTTGAAGACGTTTGGGAAAGAAATGTGTAAATCGAGGCTTGAGTTATATGCTTTCGCCTACCAGTAGTGAGTCTGACTGTAAAGTGATTCTTTGGTTCATTCAGAATGCTGGAGACGAATACAACCTATTTATGTGACATCTCGAACACAACCAATTTATATGACATCTGAGAACCTTACACGGTGATTGGACCGCTTCTTCCACATCCTTTCCAATTCATTATTCAGAGTCATTCAGTGTTGTATAGCCGTGGTTGCTGACAGTGGCATTAACTAAACTAAATCCATATATCGCTTATTTGTACCTGTACTAGTAGGCCTGTAGGTGCGGAGCTGTACTCAACGCCACAAGCAGAAATTGGCCATATGTGGAGCAAGTGTTGGCGACCTTATTCATGTGGTCAAATAATTGCCCTCTTTATAGGAAGTAGGTAAAGGCAGAACTTGTCATGAAGGAAGACTGTGGTGCTTATAAAGAAACTTGGTATTGTAGAAGAAACAAGGTGGTAACACCATGCCCATTAGCCATAAGGGGACTGACTGCCCAAGGTACACAAGAATCTTCTATCAAGACATTTTTATTTATTTATTTATTTATTCACTTCACATCCATGGATCATTATACATGACATAGGACAAGTCAAAACACTCTATAATCCAATACAACGATACAATAAGACAATACAATGATACAATAATAGAATAATAAGAACAATATAATTTTATACTAATATAATAATTAAATGATGAGCACTATATTTATCAGTCACAACACATCAAATTTGAGAATAGATTAACAACATGTTTCGGCTATTTAGCCTATTTAACCTATTTGGCAGGGGAAACCGACATATTAACCAACATATTAACTTGCTGAACACTTAACAGAGGTAGTGAATCTAACTTTGGGCTTCTTCAAACACCCAAAGTATTTTTGAGACCTTCATCCAGAAACTACAGAACCTCAACATAATATGAAAATGAGTCCAAGAGAAGGTCAGTTGTGTGGGCAACAAATGATTACCTTCCCTGGGCCCTTTTGAAGACTACTTAGGGTCGTCCCTGGTTAAGCAGTACAATGTGAGAATTCAGTGACAGTTGTAATAAGAGCCCAGTGGTTACATAATCAATTAATAAAACAATGAGGCCTAAAGGTACACAGTTCATGCATTTATAAATGCAACCACTAATGCTGTTGTGGATACTATCCAGTAGCATAAGTAGCAGATTACTAGCCTAAGGCTAAATTGTGAGAATAATCAAATGGAACAGTAGCAAATAATGAGCCTAAGGGTAGCGCTAGACAAAAATAATATAAATACCTGAGGAACCTGCTGGAGGTGAATAAACCAACATGAAACAAAGCCATAACAGGGATTTAGAGTAACAGGCCACACACACAGTTTAGAACAACCAACATTCGTGTCATGGCGCCCAATCCGTAGGAGGTTTGTCATCACCCCTAGGACTCTGCCAAAGTCAGAGCAGTTATCACTTTCAGGAGCTACTTGTGAACGCCAGTCTTCACCATTGTCATTAACAAAACAGTCCTCTTTGGGCCATAGCCTTCTGTAGAAGATTCTGCCAGATTTATCTGTTCCTGACTAGGTTTTTCCAGTTTCTTTCTCCCAGAGCTTTAACACCACTGTCCACTCCATCTTTCCATATCAATTTAGGCATGCCCTTTTTTTCTTCTGCCTTCTGGTTTGGCATTAAGAATTCTTTTCACAGGCCATTGCTGGTCCATACAAATGACATGACTAGCCCATTTCAACCTATCCACTTTTATAAAGGTTATAATATCCATGCCCCCATACAAGGCATACATTTCATAATTGTATCTAATTTTCCATTTTTTGTTTTTGGTTGGGCGGTATACATACCTCAAAACTTTTCTCACAAGATAACAAGAGCTTTTTTCAGATGTAGATAATACCGATGTTTCTGAGGCATATGTCAGGACTGGCCTAATTAATGGCGTGTATAATATGTAAGATTTGAGGCTTTCACGGCGGTGACTATGAAGAAAGCAGTCTTCTGGGATTTGGCACCGTGTATATGTGGTGTTAACCGACGTTTCGGAGGAACGTATCGCCTCCATCTTCANATTTAATCCATAAAAACTGGGAACCTCCCACATTCTAACACAACTTCGCCAGTGTAACAGACAACAGACAACTCACACAATGTAACAGGATGAGGCGATATTTATACATTGCATTTTGCAGCCTGGCTCTCTACAGACACCAACACAAGCGCTATCCAATGAGCACCCATCATCATACTTTTTACAATACAATTTTTAGATGTGGCAAAGTTTACTGCTCTAACTCCATTATCATTACTAATTTCGTGTAAACTCATTCCCAACTGTTGGTTTGAAAATGTCTTCTGTACCTATTTTGGCATTGATCTCTTAACAAAATTTTCATATGGTATGTAGGGAATTTATAGCATATATGTTCTAGTTCTTTGTAGAACGTGTCCTTCATATCAGTTTTATCTTCTGTTGGGGCATGAAACTTCAGAATGATGATATCACACCAGTGACCTCTTAGTATTATGTATGACATCCTGCCACTAACAAACTCTTCCTTCTTAACTCCTGATATGGTTCTCTTATGTATGAAAAAACTGGTACCTAATTCGTGACTCTCATTCCCTTTTCTGTAGAAAAATGTATATTCATGTGGGTTCGGTGCCACCTCCATCCCATCTGACTTCCTGAGCTCCCACTAAATCTAACTTATATTCTGAGATTTCTTCTGCCACTGCCCTGAGCGAACCTGCCTTATACATACTTCTAACATTCCAAGTACCAAATCTGATATCGATTTTCTTCCACTTAGGTCATTTATCCAAGGAATCCATCCAGGTCTGAGGCTTCTTGTGATCTTTTGTAACAAGCTTATTTTTTCTCAGTGCTGTTATCATACAGGATGTGAAGATCTATTTTTTTCAGTGAATAAGTATGTGTAGTAAGATGGGAGGTGAGGCACTTGAAGAAGATAGTTTATAAAGTCTTTCATGTGCATTTGTGTCATTACAGTCCTATTTAAACACTGTGTACTAAGCAAATTGGTGTACCATTAATGTGTTTCACTAGTTCAGATATTCACTGAGATACCAGCTATTTTTACAGGTTTCCTCAGTTTCTGCAGTTGAATATCAGGGCATTACTTTTAAAGAGACCATGACTGCCCTCATCAAAATCCTTACCATTCATCATTCATGATACTATTCCCGTCTCATCGGAAAGTTCATGGACTAGGTTGAATAAGAAGTGCTGGCTTAACTTACTCAATTTTGGCTGAAATCTTCTTCAAAATAGTCCCCTTGGGAATGTATACAGCAATCCCATCGCGGTTTCTACCTTTCTAAAGCATCATGGAAGTAATTTTCTTTAATGCTGTTGAGTACAGATATGTGATGTCAGACACTGTTTCAAATAGTCATCCCTTCAGTTTTATTTTGAATTTGGGAAGGCTGAGTCCAGCGAGTAGGGAGGATGGGGAACGATAACAATCTTATTGTTAGTCACAAACTCTGAGGTTTTCAGTGACATGGGTGGGTGTATTATGATGAAGGAGACAGTTGTGGTCGTGCCAAAGTTCTGGTCTTTTTTGTCGCACATTTTCTCTCAGTTGTCTCAGAATGTCACAGTGAAAGACAAGAGTCGACCCTAATGTTAGAAGGAACAAATTCACAGTGAACAATCCCCTTCATGTCAAAACAAAAAAACAATGAGCATGCTCTTTGTTGAACTGCAGACCTACTGCACCTTTTTTGCTCTTGGTGATTGTGGACTTTTCCACTGCGACAATTGTTTTGTTTCTGGATCATAACTGTAAATCCAAGTTTTGTCACCCATTATGATTCTAGAGATACCCATAAGGTTAGGTCCTTGTTAGCCTTCTCTCATAGCTCAAGACACACGTTTATGCACTGCTGCTTTTGATCATTCATCAAGAACAAACTTCACAGCAATGCAGCGCATGTTCAAATTTTCTGTTATGACCTCCTGGTTATCTTCATAACTGATGCCAACGGTGTCTGAGAGCTCATGGATTGTTCGGCGACAGTCTTTGTGGATGAGTTCTCGATAATTTTCAACATTTTCTGTCATTTTGCTGGTGCTTGGTAGCCCTAAATGTTCGTCATCTTCAACTGACACTTGACCGGCCTTGAAAAGTGAATGCCATTCAAAAACCGCTGTCTGGCTTAAAGTATATTGTCCAAATGCCTCATGAAGCTTTTCAAGGGTTTTGGTAGCAGATTTAAGGAGCTTCATGCAAAACTTTATGTGGACAAGTTCGATTTTGCCATCCATCGCAGACAAAACGAGACACAAAGTTGAAAGAGCACTCTTGTAAAAACAGTGCGTGTTCACAGCATGGTGTCACATGGCAGACTGATGCAATATGCTTGCAGAAGTGTGACCTTGGCCTCCCCTCTCATCTCCTTTCACCGAAGCAGTTATAACAGTAACAGTCCAGGAACTTTCTGATAGCATCTCATATACAAGGTGCGGCAATAAAGAAACCAGATTCATGCTCTAACCCTTTATTGAAAAAAAAATCAGGCAATCGAAATGTTATCCCCTTCAATGTAGTCCCCTCCCCGATCCCTACACCGCTCCATGCGAATTTTCAACTGTTGGAAGCAGTGCTGCAGGTCATCTTGTGTTATGCTCTTCAAGAGTTGCGTCGCTTTTGCTTTCACTGCATCCACGGACTCG